TTACATTGGTAGTTTGAAATTGGCCACGATTAGAATATTTATGACATGAAAAAAATTTACAAATCAAGACCTGATTTATTGTATTGTCGATTTTCTAAGGCAGGCTTGTTCAACTTTGGTACTATTGATATTTGGCGCTGTATAATTCTTGGTTGTGGAGGGAGAAGCTGTGCATTGTAGGATGTTTAGCAGCATTCTGGTCTCTCCTTACTAAATGACACTCCCTCCGAGTTGTGACAACCACAACTGTGTCCAGATATTGCCAAATATGCTTTGGGGAGCAGAATTGCTGTTTCTCTCCATTGAGAGCTACTGGTCTAAGAAGTTGGCAAATTAAGGTCAGTGGGCAAAATTTGGCCCATGAATGTTTATATACAGCCCTCAAGCTAAGAAGTTCTACATTTTTAGAGGATTGTAAAACATAACAGAGACTAGGTGTGGTCTGCAAAGCCTAAGATATTTACTTTTTGGCCCTTTAAAGAAAATGTTTGTTGACCCTTAGTCTTAGTGATAAAGAAACTGTTAACAAAGAGATTAAACTTAAAAGTGCATGATGTTAGTAGCTGTTACATTGTGAAGAACACACACAATAACTGAAGAAATGTTCTCCCAGTATATGAAAACTATTATTTAATTCAGCAAAGAAGCTACTCACATCACTCACGAACAAGTGAATTTCCAACATACATAAAGTTGGAACTCAGAGAGGGTTCAGTTTAACAAAAATAATTTGCATGAAAATCATAGTTTAACAGTAGATCACATATAACATTTCAGAACGATGTTTATATTGGGGAAAGGATTAGTGGTCTGGAATGCGATTCCATTTGTCAAACCATGGTTGAAAGGCAACCGTAAGTTGGCTATCAATACAAGAGTTTGGCAGAACTCAATGAAAACATTCCAGTTGACTCACTGGCTACATGGAATTTACAATATACAGAAATTGTATATTTATTATTATTTGTAAAACATGTGTTACTTACCTGTTCTATCAGTAAAATTTAAAATAAATGTTTATATGTATATATTCACGCACCTCTCTGAGAGCTGGTTGTTAATCACTTACCAGCACTCCACTGCTCCCACCTCCTGTTCTACCCCTATTTCTTTGTCCCTCCCCCACATTCTTCCTTGAAAGGCATTATCCTCTTTATTTCATGGGATTTTCCAATCTCCCTCCTGTCTTAGAGCCTTTGCTGCTGTCTTTTCCTTACCCTGAAATGCTCCTTTATCTCCTCCTCAATGCCTTTCACTCCCCACACATCAGAGATCCTTCCATCTTAGCTAAAACATCACTTTCTTAGGGGAAGGCTTTTTAAACCCCTTTGACATGGTGGGGGCTCCCTGCTAAATACAATCACAGAACCCTGTACTTCTCCTTCATAACATGCTGTCACAAGATAACTTACAAGATTATCTGTGTAGTTTTTATTAATTGTCTCCCACACCAGGCTGTAAATTGCATCACTGCAGGGACCACATCATCTTGTTCACTGCTGATTCACCAGTGCCTAACTGACTGTTTGGAAAATATTAACTGCTCAGTAAATGCTTGTTCCTTTTCCACTTCTTTCTTTCTGTGCTAGTTAGAATTAATCCCATGAATACAGAGCACATTTTCTGTTTGTTATGATTAATGGACAGTATTGTATGACACCCTGAACTTTTCCATCTTATCACGTAACACAAGTGAATGTTATTCATTCTTTATGGGATTTACTTTATTATTATTATTGCTGTTATTATTTTGCTGAGTGTCCCTCCTTCATGGGATGGTGAGCTTTCAGAGCTTGGGTTTTGGGCCTCTCCTACTCAGCACTAGCACATTGCCTGGGGCATCCAGTTATCAGGGACACAGTGGTGAACAAGATAGGTGTAGTTGTCTATTTATGTCCCATATAGTGAGAGAGACATGAAATATGTCCATGTATGCCAAGTGGTGCTCAGTGCTTAGTGCTACAGGGTAAAATAAAGCAAGGTAAGAATGAGAAGAGAGGCCAGGTGTGGTGGCTCACACCTGTAATACCAGCGCTTTGGGAGGCTGAGATGGGAAGATCGCTTGAGCTTAGGAGTTTGAGACAAGCTCAGGCAACATGGCGAAACCCCATCTCTACTAAATACAAAAAATTAGCTGGGTGTCGTGGAACATGCCTGTAGTCTCAGCTACTCGGGGGACTGAGGCAGGAGAATCGCTTGAACCCGAAATGCTGAGGTTGCAGTGAGCCAAGATCACGCCACTGCTCTCCAGCCTAGATGACAGAGCCAGAGCCAGACTCTGTCTCCTAAAAAAAAAAAGAAAAAAAAAAAGAATGAGAAGAGATATCCTGGACTGAGGAGAGAAATGGCATTGTATTTGGTGTGTCCAGGAAAGGCCTCTCTGGTAAGATGAGTAGAAACCTGTAGCATGCAATGGAAGGTCTCTGGGCAAAAATCAATCCAGGCAATGGAACAGAAAGTACAGGGGCCCTGGGGAGAGAATGTGCTTTATGAGTTCAGAGAACAACAAGGAGGCCTCATGACATGTCACATGTCACTCATGACAGGCCACATGTCACTCATGACAGGGTGAGTGATAGAGGAAGTTAGAGCTATGGTGGGATGGGGTAGGATTCAGGGTCATTTAGATCCTTGGGATCACTGTAAGAAGTTTGGCCACTACTCTGAGAAAGATGAAAGCCAGTGGGGGTTTTGAGCAACAGAACAACATGATCCTTTGGTTTTGGTAGGATCACTCTGGTTGCAATGCTGGGAACAAATGACAGAGTGCAAGCATGGAAATAAGGAGGCCACTTAGGAGGCCATGGCACAAACCCAGGTGCAAGAAACCTGGCATGGACCAGAGAGATGACAGTGGAGGTGGTGGGAAGGTATCAGATTCAATACATATACTGTGAAGGTAAAACTTAAACATTTGCTAATGGATTGACTGTGTGGTGTAAAGAGAAGAAAAATAATTGTTGAAATTTTTGAATGGGCACTTATGTCATGCCCAGCACTACGTGCTACACCTTTGGAGATCCAAAAGGATGAGAAATACATGCCACCCTCAGGGAGTACCCAGTCCAGTGGGCAAATACGATTGTCAGTGTGAAAGCCCAGAGAAAATAACAACAGTTAACCCCTACACAGCACTTTCTGTGTGTCGGGTACCAGTACTTTGCATAGATTAATTCATTAAATCCTTACAATAACCTCATATGAAATACATAGTAATTATACCTTTATTTTACAGATGGGGAAACTGAGACAGATGTTAAGTAAAAGCCAAAGGTCTAAGGTCACACAGCTTGTAAGTGGCAGAGCTGGGATTTGAACCCAGCCAGGCCAGTGCCAGAGTCTGTGTCTTCAGTCATTGTCTCCTTCTCTGCTGGAGAGAATGAAATCACAGTACAAACTCTTATCATCCAAGAAGAAATGGGCTTGGTGTCACACAGAAGTCACATAGGAGTCCCTTAGGCAGCCCATAGCTGCAGAGCGCAGTGAGTGTCAGTGCAAACTCTCTTCAAATGAAAATGTACAGGCCTGGGGTGCCCCTCTTCCTTGTGCCAAAGGGGCTGGAGGATGCACCATAGTACATTGGGAACCCCCAGAAGTAGGTAGGAAGTGGGAGCCTGTAGGACCTACAAAAATGCTATTTTATAAGAGAAGCAGAATATAACATTTCTAACAGGTTTGAATGTAGATCTTCTACCAGCTGACCTTGTGACGGGAAACAAATGACACACATCACAGATGGGAAATGCACACATCACACACACACACACACATACACACACATACACATGCATGTGCAGCCATGCTACTTTGCAAAGTTGGCTCACTCATTGATTAACAGAAAGTTACACAATGCTTTTTCTGTGACAGGCACTGTGCTAAGCCAGGCAGTAGATACAAAGACAAGTCTACTACCATGCCTGGTTTTTGTAAAGGAGATAAAACAAGTAGAAAACTATAATATATAAGGTCAGAGGAGTTAAGGGACAGCAAGGAAACTATAAATGAAAGATCAGGGGAGTTTGGTAGGGAGAGTAGGGGCAGATGAGGAATGGGGCTGGCTTCAGGGAGCACTCTGCTTCTGTTTCATGCCTGGAAGATGTGTGGGTGTGCAAAGAAGGTAGCTGAGGTAGAAGGAAGAGTTTGTGCAAAGGAGTGGAGGCGGGAGAGCTTGGTACAGGTTGGCAGAGGTTGGGATGTCTGGAGACAGAATGTGAGAAAATCCTAGAGACATTAGGGCTAGATCTTCGGGGTGGAAGGGGTTCTAAATGTCATGCATTTTTGTGTTTGTTTCTTAGGCATAGAGAGTACATTGGGGATTTTTTGATGAGGGGAGCGCCTAGCAAGTTGCTGGGTACATAGTAGGCTGACAATCAATCAATGATGGTTCAACTAATGAAGGAAAGAAATAATAATGGCCACAAATTGTTGGGTGATTGCTATCTGCCACATTAGTTTATGAACATTTTAACTGCTCATATAATTCTCATCAGAGCCCATGAGATGGTTTCTCCATATCCATTCTACAGATGAGGAAACTGAGACTCAGAGAGGATAAGGGTCTTGCTCAAGGCTGTGACTAAAAAGTTGGCATCTAACCAGAGTCCATGCTTCCACACTGCTGTGCAATTTGAAAAACAGAAGAAAGGGAGAGAAGAAAAAGGGGTTATGGGACCAATGTCATCCAGAAAGGAAGCTATGATAGGCCCAAATTAGGAGAAGAACAACGTGGGTTGGAAATAAGAGACATTCCAAAGATACAATCAACCCAAATCTATTATTGTTTGATATGAGTGGCTGGGCAGAGCGAAGGGTCAAAAAACCTCCCAGCTTTCAGTCCCTGGAAAGTGATAGAACTATTCAAAGAAGTTGGAGTGACAGAGAGGGAAGATGACAGTTTGGTTTTAGTTAATGTGCACAGAAATGTGGGTGCCCAGGAGCCCCCAAAATGGCCAGAGGAGAAGTGCTTTCAAAGGCAAGCTGCAGGGCTCCTTGGTTTGGTCACATTCCTCATTCTGGGACTCTGTGGGTTTGTCCTGGGAATCTCGAGGCTCTCCCAAGGTTCCTTTCTATGTTTACATCATTTAGCAGGGAAGGATTGTTAATGACTAATCTGTGTCCATGAGGCACAGAGCCAAGGAAGAGATGCTGCTGCTAGCCCGGAAGGCCGCCTGTGATCATGCACAGCACACTAGAACTCTCTCCTCCTCCTCACCTCATTGTCTCCCTGACTTATCCTAATGCGAAATTGGATTCTGAGCATTTGTAGCAAAATTGCTGGAATCTGGAGAGGAAGACTCGATTCAGAATCCTCCCAGGGCCTTGAAAGTCCATCTCTGACCCAAAACAATCCAAGTAAGTACCTAATTCCTTTGGGAGTGGGGTGTCTATCTCATGGCAACAGAGAAAAAATAGTCACTTAAAAGTTTCTCTTTGACATCAGTAATTTATGTCAATAAATGAATTCTAAGTTAGTAGAGTTTGATATGAAGTCCTGAAAACTAAAAAAAGAAAGAAACTCAAAAATGAAAAGAAACAGAAGTAGAAGTTAATGAGTCTTAGCAGTTGCTTACCTATTGAAAACTTATTTAGAAATATTCTTTTAACATTGTGGTCACCTGAGTAAATCACTGGAGACAGTAAATTTCAGAAATGTTTCCGTTCTGATTCCATAAACAATTTGACCTGTATAGCGTGCTATATTTTGGTGATTTATCAAATCTTGAAGTGCGTTTGGGAATATTGCTAATGTCAGATGACTTGGGAACTAAGAATAGGACATTTAACCTATGCTTAATTGAAATGAAATTTTTCCCTAACAGAAGAGTAGGTGGAAAAATTCTTCTTTCTTGACTTCAGTTGTAAATTCTTCTATTGCTTTGCACTTCGAATATTAATATCAAATGGAAATATTTTTAAAAGACAGAAATGTGAGTATAAGGAAGAACTTCAGTGATGAAATTGTCCAAGGACTAAATCTATAGATAAGATATCTCTTTGTCTCCTTACTGAAAAAGTGAATGGGGCAACTGTGGAGCCTCACTTACTTCTTTTAATTGGGTTTTTATTTAGAAGGGAGGGGCAGGAGGGAATGACAAGTGACTCACCTTGAATTCTTCCTCTAAGAAACACCTGAGCTTTGAGCTTTAAAGAAATCTGATGCTGTTTCTGGTGCTGTTTTAGAACCACTTCAGGAGTATTGACAAGAGGGGTAGGGACCCTTAAAATAATATTAGTGATAAATAAGAAGGCAGGAAGAAACTTTTGGAGGTGATGGCTTTATGGTATAGATTGTGATGATGATTTAATGAGTGTATACCTATCCCCAGACTCATCAAAGTGTATACATGGAATATGTAAAGCTTTTATATGTCAGTCACACCTCAATAAAGTGGTTTATATGTATATAATGTTTTTTTTCTGTTCCTAAAAAAAGGAAGGGAGAAGAGAGGGAAAGATGTACATGGAGCTACCATTTTGTTTCTAGTTGTGATTTTATAAAATGATAGATGCTTTTATCTTTGTGTTACCTTCCTACCCCCAGTCCTCCAAATTATGGATCTGTGCCATTTGTACCATGGACTTTTCTGTTTTCTGAGGATGTTGCAACAAATACTGATGCAATTCCTGGTTAACTGATGAAGTACTGGCCAGGGACAAAGCTGTCTTGACCCTTCCTCAAGATTTGCAGCAATTTCCCACCATGTACCTCTGCCCTCTCCCCGCAGCTGGAGAGGCAAAGCCATGGAATCCTTGTCCTTCCTCTCGTTTCCACCTCTCCAAGATCGGGCCAGTTGCAATGGAATATCCAATGGTTGTGAGGCCCTTGTACTCTGTAAGGAAAAGAAAAGAAATGTGCATATGCATGAGTGTGTGATGGAGCTAACTTTTCTTCAGTGCCTACTAACATGTCCTAGCGTTTACTTCACCTGCCTGTTTCCTTCTTACAACAACCCTGTATGGGAGTTTTTCTCTATTTATTTTTATTTTTATTTTTTGAGACAAAGTCTCGCTCTGTCTCCCAGCCTGGAGTGCAGTGGCGCGATCTCCGCTCACTGCAACCTCTGCCTCCTGGGTTCAAGCGATTCTCCTGCCTCAGCCTCCTGAGTAGCTGGCACTACCGGTGCGCGCCACCATGCTGCTAATTTTTGTATTTTTAGTAGAGACGGGGTTTCACTATGTTAGCCGGGTTGCTCTCGGACTCCTGACCTCAGGTGATCCGCCCACCTCGGCTTCCCAGAGTGCTAGGATTACAGGCTTGAGCCACTGCACCCAGCCAGGAATTTTTCTTATACTCATTTTACAGATGAGAAAACAGACTCAAAAAGTACAAGTAACCAGTGCACAGGCAGATGGTTAGGAAGTCGCAGGACCTAAAATTGAGGGTGAGTCTTTCTGACTCCAAAGCCTCTTCCTGGCTACTCCGATATTGGTGGAGGCTGGGAAAACTTGAAATGGGGAATGATGGGGGAGCGGGGGGATCCTAGCCATTAAGCATTCCAGCCTGACAGGGGTGATTTGTTAAACCCAGGAACAAGTTTGACGTTTCCTGAAACCTCCTGCATAGGGCGTTTTTGAGTGATTGCACCATCAGTAGGGAAACTGAAAAGTTTCGAACACTATTTGTTTTCACCCAGAGACCAGTCTAGGATAGCTTGTTGGACATTTCATTTATCAGCATTTTAATTAAAGACCACAATGAACTCTCCATGCTGCTGTGATTAGGGACATCTTAGAGGAGCTCAGAACTGCTGTGGCTCACAGTCTCTGGATTATGAGTGCCATGAGAATGCATATGATGATGTGATAGATTTTCAAAGGCTCACATTGTCATTAGGTGGGTGCATAAAGGACAGAAAAGGTTCTTTTCTTCATAGAAAGAGATTTCCCTTCTCTTTGCTCTCAGTCTCATTTTTATCTTAATCTGTAGCAACATAGATTATAAAGGGAAATTTAAAAATATAGGAACAAGCCAGACACAGTGATGAGTGCCTGCGATCCCAGCAGCTTGGGCGGCTGAGGTGGAAGGATTGCTTGAGCTCAGGAGTTCAAGGCTGCAGTGAGCTATGATCATGCCACTGTACTCTAGCCTGGGTAACATAGTGAGACATCACCTCAAATTTTTTTTAAAATAAGAAGTAGGAAAACTTTTCCTCCCATGTATTTTTTATTGTCACAGTCGTTCCTACCAGTGACGATGTAGCTAACAGGCATCACTATACGAGTGTCCTTAGTCACCAAGCTGTATAAGGAGGCAAAAATCATTATTACGTACAAATATCCATCCTTTTCTCTTTTCTCTCCCTTCTCTCACCCTGCTCTGGAATCCCCTAACACCTTTGCTCTTCACAGTGAATTATTTTCTCCCTCAGTTTGCCCATTTCCAATTTTGGCCATAAAGGAACATCTACTATTCCTACTCTATCTGCTTTGTAAATTTGTCATAAAATGACACTAATATAATGCAACTTGATTGCAAAGTAAAATTGCAAATATTGCACAGGAAAAAAATAAGATTGGTTATTTGTTAGGATTAAGAAATATAACAGGGTTGTGGTGATTAAAATAAATATGTATAAATATAAAATAAATTTTTATTAATTTTCATTTTTTTACGATAAAATCCTAACAAAACTTTGAGATTTTGTTTCCCATTTTAAAGAGATTTAGATGGCCTTTTCCAGGTCTCAATGAACCTGAGATAATCTGGGTCTCTTACACTTTAATTAATGTTATGAATGTAAAGAAAAGGAGAAATGGTATGGCTTTGCATTTTCAAAGTCCTGTAGATATATTTAACACAGTTATCTGGAAAACATGGTAAATAATATAGCTGTGCATTGAGAATGCAGTCCTGCTGTGGGATGTTGCTGATTACAGAAAATAAAAACACTGCTCTGGGCTGAGACTGTTCCTAAGCAGAGAGCTATTTGCTGCCATGTCCTCGAGAGCTATGGAAGCTGCCAGTGTAGATGACGAGTTGATACCAGCCTGGGGCTTAAGGAGCAAAAGCTGGTTGCCATCCAGAATTTGCAGGGCAGAGACGGGACAAGAAAATGTCATTCCAAAGTGGTCATGTAAAAGATTCTTGTTCTCCTGGAGTCCCGACTGAATGTGAGGCTATAATTGGGCTTCAGGGGGGCCAGGGTCACTTGAGACTACATTTAAAAATCTATGCATTTTACAGAGAATTTTCAGGGCAGACCAATCATTCTATATGATATTACCAATGGTGGGCACATGTTATTATACACTTGTCAAAACCCATAGAATACACAACACCAAGACTGAGCCCTAATGTAAACTATAGTCTTTCGCTGATAAAGATGTGTCAGCGTAGGTTCATCGCTTGTAAAAAAAAAAAAAATGTGCCACTCTGGTGCTAGTTGTTGAAAGTAGAGGAGGCTGCGCATGTGTGGGGGGTTGGGGGGAAGAGGTATATGGAGGCTGTCTGTACATTTTGTTCAATTTTATAGTGAACATAAAACTTCTCTTAAACATGTATTAATTTAGAAAAATCTCTGTAGTTTGTATATGTCTTTCCTAGAGAGAGGTTTATAATTTTCACTGAAGCTCAAAAATACTGTATAGTCCTAAAATTGTTTTAAGAAAATGAAACAAACCCATCTCTTCTAGAGAATCTAAATATATCTGCTTATAGCACCTGATTATATAATTGGCAAAATTGAGGACAGGAAATGATGCCCTAGGAGACTGACATATCTTAATGTAGTCACTGTGTTAAAAGTTACAACATTATAACTAAGTCTAAAATATTTTTTGACCTTCCCCTAGCCCCATTCTCCTCTACTTCACCGTTTCAATGTTAATACAAACCAAAACACTTTAATCTTATTTAACCACTTCCTAATATTTGATACTATAGAGCATAGTTCATTTAGTCATTCCACTGTTGATGGTTTTTTAGGTGGTTTGTTCCCTTTCTGCATTAGAGGCAATGTTTCAATGAACATCCTGGTGCACACTGGCAAATATTTCTCTAGGAAAGATACCTAGGAATTAAAATTGCACTTTATTTTAACATACACTGCTAAAGAGCCCTCCAAAAAGACTAAAATCTATGCCCCCACTAGCAATATGTGAGAATACATATTTTCATACACTTCGAATATTATCAAAGTTAAAAATTTTCGATAATCTGATACGTGAGAATGGTATTTAGTTAGAGTAATTTCCATTTTTCTAATTACTATTCGTTTCAGATATTTTCTGTGTTCACTGGCCACTTGTGTTTCCACTTTGGTGAATTTCCTTTTCGTATCCTTTGCCAGTTTCTCTCTTGGATTGTTTATCCTTTCTGTTTTTATTTATGGGAATCATTTATATATTGTTTG